ACTCAAGATCCCAAAACCTCCCACCTTCATCACTGCCTCATTGGTTAAAATGAGAATTGGATAATTCTCAGATGATTTTTAGGATGATGCCTGGGTTCACAATCTAGTCATAGTAACATGCTTATCATTTGTTCAACAGTGGTTACATCCTGCTCTGTTTACATTAACTGGCTTCTCTTCTGGATCATCATGACAACTATCCTCAAATGGAGGAAGCTAATGCTGAATGGATTTCATCTTGTCAGCATTTCTGTCTGTGTTAACATTTCACCAGAGTTTTTAAGGTTATATAGAAGAGAAATGTATAGAAGAGAAATATGTTGATCCTCTTACATTTTTCTTTTAAGGAATAATTATTTCTTCTTTTTTACTTCTCACACAGCTTTTATTTTCCTGGGTTTCAAGATCATTGCAGATGGCAACTGCAGCCATGAAATTAAAAGATGTTTGCTCATTGCAAGGAAAGCTATGGCAAGCTTAGATAGCATACTAAAAAGCAGAGACATTACCTTGCTGGCAAAGATTCATACAGTCAAAGCTATGGTTTTCCCAGTAGTAATGTATGGCTGTGATAGTTGGACCATTAAGAAGCCTGAGCGCCAAAGAATTGATGCGTTCAAATTGTGGTGTTGGAGAAGACTCTTGAGAGCTACCTGGACTATAAGGAAATTAAATAAGTCAATTCTAAAGGAAATCAACCCTGCTCTTTGGAAGGACAGATACTTTATTTGAGGAAGCTCAAATATTTTGGTGAATTTGGAAGGTGAATATGTTTAGGACTGTGGGAAAACAAAAATATAGGTTATTGATCTATCAGATTCAATAAGGCCTTTGGATGATAGCAGGCCCCAGAATAAAGAGGCATGAACCAACCAACAAAGAGACATAAACACATCTATATTGACCAGGGCTATCTAGACTAGAGATCATAATGCTTTTCTCAGCTGTTCTTCCAGATTTAATGATGAAAAAGACCACTCACACTGAACAAGTAGTGAGGTTTTATTCTTCTTTCATTCCAAAATATCAGGTAACAATGAAGCATAATAGTTTAAAGTCAGCTCTGGCTTCATCTGCAGCCAGGGCTGTATTTATGCATGTCATACATTAACTAATTACATAATTAAGGCATCCAGCATCCAGCCAATTCTGACAATGATTACAACCATCCGGAATATCTATCACACCAGGTTACTGTTCACTACAAAATATACAGGTTATGTTCTAACCTAAATAAAAGCTACCGAGTGGGCAGTTGAATGTGACAGTTGGAAGGAGTTGTTGTTGTTAGTTGTGAAGCTAGGTCTGACCCATTGAGACCCCATGGACAATGTTCCTCCAGGCCTTCCTGTCCTCTACCATCCTCTGGGAGGAGCTGAGCAGATGCCAAAAATAAGCAGCATAATTTGGGGTCTTTAGAAGGCAGAGTTATGGAATTCAATTAGATTAACAATAATTAATAATAAATCACATGGAGGAAATCCCCTAAAACGCAGGGAGAACTTCAAAACTATCCAGTAAGGAATATGCATGGTTTTAGGGCATAAAATCCTAGCTACTGCCTGGGATGAGGAATGGGTATTCTGGGCAAGAAGTGACTGTTTGGTTGTTATGGACTCTATGGGAAGTTTCCTTTACATCTTGAAGTAGATGCTTCTTGGTCTGAGCTAATGATGAAGTGATGAAGTCTGATATACTTTCCTATCTCCTTAATTGTCAGGTTAGCCATGCTGGGAAGGAAATATAAGAAAACACCCCAAGAGACGGAACAAAGAAGATGAGTATTACACAATCATCCAACACACACAGCCCTAAGTATTTAGTTTGATCTTCCTTGATCTATCACCCTCCAGAGACAGTGGATTAAAACTCCTACCACTTCCATCAACAAAAGGGGATGGGAATGTGTGTGAGATACTTGGAGAACTCTAAATTAGCTTATTTCATGAGTCAAACAGAATGGAACCTTCCAGAATTACAAACACTCTGTTACATTTACTTAACCCTGTAAAAATAAAAAGGCCTTCCAATATAGCCAAGAGAGACAAGTAATTGAATAGAATAGAATAACACAGTTGGAAGGGTTCTTGGTGGTCTTCTAGTCCAGTGGTCACCAACCAATGGGCTGGGGACCATTGGTGGTCCATGAGAAAATTTTGGTAGTTCACAGAGAAATGTCACCCCCAAAGCACCCCCCCCCCAAAGCAATTAATCCTGGCTGCATGGGAACACAAGGCTTCACTGCCCACATGGCCCATGGGAACACAAGGCTTGCAATGCTTGCATTGTGAACAATACAAGGTAGTGAGGGGAGGGGGGAAAGGGCGGAGGGCAGGAACTTGCCCCACTCACCCCATGCACCTCGCCTGGGCTGTTTCTTTCCGCTGCTTCTGCTTTTGGATGCACACAAGGAAAGCAGCAAAAGTCTTTCTTTCTCTCCCCCCAAACTCCACCAGAAATGAATCTTTGGGACCCTGCAAGGCATCCTGCTCCAAGAGGCTGCGCTGGTGCAACAAGTCTCACAAAGACTCATTTTGGGTGGAGTTTTGGGGAGAGAAAAAAAGACTTCTGCTGCTTTCCTGGCATGAAGCCAAAAGTCTCTCTCTCTCTCTCTCTCTCTCTCTCTCTCTCTCTCTCTCTCTCCCGCCCCCCCCCCCACCCTGGGAATGGAGCTGGAGATGGTATCCTGTGATCCCAAATAAAGAATGCTCGATCAGTAGGAAAACAGGGTGGGGAATTTTCCTGCAGACTTTTTTGGGGGGATTTCCCCAGGGTCTCTGGTCCGCGGGATTTAAAATTATGAGTTTGGTGGTCCCTGAGGTCCAAACAGTTGGTGATCCCTGTTCTAGTCCAACCCCCTGCTTAGTCAGGAAACCCTACACCACTTCAAACAAATGGTTATCCAATCTCTTCTTTAAAACTTCCAGTATTGGAGCATTTACAACTTCTGGAGGCAACTTGTTCCAGTGATTAATTGTTCTACTGTCAGGAAATTTCTCCTTAGTTCTAAGTTGCTTCTCTCCTTGATTAGTTTCTACCCATTGCTTCTTGCCCTGCCCTCAAGGAGAATAGCTTGACTCCCTTTTCTTTGTAGCAGCCCCTGAGATATTGGAACACTGCTATCATGTCACCTCTAGTCCTTCTTTTCATCAGGCTAGACCAGGGGTTGCCAACCTTTTGGACCTAAGGAACCAGCAAACTCATAATTTTGCGGCCCACCGGTTGGCAACCGCTGGGCTAGACATACCCAGTTCCTGCAACTGCTCTTTATATGTTTTAGACTCCAGTCCCCAGCACGCAATGGATATAGAATATGTCTTAAATGCCATGCAGAAATTTAAATTCAAGTCAACCAATTTCAAAATATATTTGACACAGGTCTCTGCTTAATAAATAAGGGAAGTGGAATTAAAAGGGAACAAGTTGCCCCCTTGGAAGCAATACAGTTCAGCAAAGTTGCTCCAGGCAGAAATGTTACACAATATCCTTTGGAGAACCGACTCCAATAACAAAAAAAAAAAAGGGGGGGGGTAGTAAGTAAAAGGAATTTATACAACCCTCCTTCAGCCAATAAAGAGAATCTGGGTGGTGCCAGTTCTGGAAGGTCTTTGATTGCACAGTGCATAAGTCATCTAACTTGCTATGAAAGATAAAGGAAGTATGAAGTATCAGAGAAGGACCAGGGGGTCTAGTCCCTAGCTGAGTGACCATACTATTCAGCTGAATCATCCCTTCCCTCAGAACTGTTGTGCAGTAAAAAAAAAAATGAATAGAAAACTGCATAAAATAATGAGCTTTCTGGAGGAAGAAGACTGGATAAAAATAATACTTATTATTTTTAAAAGGTAGCAAGCCTCATCATTGTTCCACCTAGTCCCTTTGGTGTTGCTAAACTAGATCGCAGTAACCATCTCACATGATGGGACTAGGGGTTCAAAATGTATCAAGGACCTTATTTGGAACAAAAATAATCCAAAAAGAGGGAGGGTAGAACAAGGAAGAAAGGATTAGCTTCATTTTAAACTCTGAAAATAAGGTTTTAATGAAAGGTGCCGAGGGTGGGAGATAAGAAAATATGGGGCATTAGTTCCTTAGATGATAATGCATAGGCTGTTTTGCTTTTTTCAAAATCTGATAATAAACCAGCCTTGCTACATTTGGGGATCTTTCTTTCTAAATCTTGCCCCAAGGAGCTCTGACTCTGTTGTCACTCCTTTGTATTTGTTTTAATTATACTACAAACAATAGGTTTGTTTAGTTGATGTTCAACATGAGTGCAACTAGAGGAATCATTGCGCCCACTAGACTTCGCTAGTCCTCCCCCAAAAACCCTTACACCCGATCCTTACTATGACCAATCCTGTTGAAAATTCATTTGTGAAGGAAGCAGTCTACATAGGAAACCGGTTTAAAGCCTTAAAAATCTCTATCTCGATGCCCCAGATCTCTCTCTCCCTCTCCCTCCCCCCTCCCCCTCTCTCCCTCTCTTCCTCCTCTCCCATTCTCTCTCTCTCTCTCTCTCTCTCTCTCTCACACACACACACACACACCCTAAACAGAAAAAAATACCCTGCGCAACGGCAGCACCTAGCCCATCATAGGATATATAACTAAGCAGGTTTGGAGCTGATCAGTAATTGAATAAGGAATCCAGGCTTCTGTACTAATTGGGAACCTACAAAGACGTCCTGGAACGGGAAGTGGCAAAGCAATTCCTCCTGGATGCTGAGGAAATTATTAAGTCTCCTCACAGGCACCAGAAGACAAACTCGACTACAGACTTTGCAAGGGGAGGTTGGGTGCGGGGAGTGGAAAGAACAAGAAGCAACGGGAGGGGGAAATCCAGCCGCGCTCCTATGCCATCCCAAGTGATCGAACCGACCACCAACTGGGAATAAACGGCAACTCTTTGCGTTTGAGAGGGAAAAGAAAGGTGGACCAGCGCCTCCACCTCGCCAGAAGCATCGCCCTTTTTTCGAAATGTCTCAATCCTAACTTACCCAAAATCTCCTTCCTCCGTTGCGTATGGGGCTGTTCAGTGTAAACCCACTCGAAATCCCCGCGGGTGACCCGGTTACCCATTCCTACTTTCTCACTAAGCAGGCTCGCCTCCGGTGCTGTACAGATAAGCGCGCTCCGGAGACGCACCTTATATTAGCCTGGAGAAGCCTGGAGACAAACTCCGCCCCACGCTCGCCCGCTTCAGCCACCGAGCTCCCAGAGCCGTCTAGCGAACTCTGGCTTTGTGAATAGAATAGAATAGAATAGAATAGAATAGAATAGAATAGAATAGAATA